AATAAAATTCGCATATAAAAAACAATATTTAATCATATTGACCCTAATAAAGACAGAATAAAAATAGTAACAGCTCGAGAATTACTTTTTATGCTTCTCCAAAACTTCCAATAATTTATCGGCTTCCTCACTTGTCTTCACCCTCAGTAATATAGGAACAGGAGGGGGTTTAAATTCTGGAGTCGGCAAACAGATGAGCATGACGTCTTTGTTTCCCATTCGCTTTGTAGGAATGCTCTCCGACAGTATGAAATTACACAATAAATTTCCTAGATTTGTGTCAGCCCTAACGATCAACTGAACTTTTTCACTGCCCTCAATTGATTTCAAGTATAAATTACCAACACCACGATCTCCAAATTTATCATCTTTTTTTACAAAAACTTTACACCGTATCGTGTATATATAATCAGTTTCAATTACTGGTTTGAAATCATTTTTAGGAGGCTCATAGTTATCATCTGCATCTGCTGACGATTCTTGAGTGGCTGGAGGTTTTGTTACATTTGCAAATGTGAAAGGAGTTGAACTGCTGAAGGTTGACATGGTAGATGGATATTTTGATCCAAATGAAAACGAACTTGATATACTGGCCGGTGTAGTTGATGTGCTAGCATTTGGTGTTCCTGGAAAAAATAATAGTGAACTGATACAAGACCAAGGAATTTTTAATCTCAACTGAAAATGTTTCTTTTGAGAAAGTAATGAAATAGAGAGTTATAGAACTGAAATATCCTAATGATTTTTCAATATAATTATTTATTGAAGGAGGAGAAGAAGAATATTAGTTTGTAGATTACCCTAAAAAATTATATATACTTGTGGATTATTCGTTTCATATCAACAAAAATAATTAACAAATATTTAGTAATATCTATCTCATGTACTTGTATTATTATTCAGTTTAATAGTATACATACACAGTGTTAAATAATAAGGTACTTTTCTCATAGTCTCCAAGACCCCTATAGAATAATGACTTGTGAGATTATATTTGGGTAAATAGAAACTGTTGCCGTTGTCACTTCTCGTATCATTATCATACATAATGTATTTACCTGTGATCAATTCTTAAATATATAGAGGAAGATTATTTAATATTTCGGAAATAAATCATGGATATTTTATAGAGTCGGTCGGAAACAGACAACCATTGGAGTATGTTTAATGTTGTTGTTCACCGTTGGGGTTATATGATAGTATTCTAAAAAGTTGCTCGGGATAAAAAGATAAATACAACGATTTTTTTAAAAAAGCATAATTTTTCTAATATTTTTGCTTACATAGTCTTTTCTCACGAACCCATTCGAATATTTCAGTACTATAATTTTCTAATATATCAATTTGAAAAATTCAACAATGAACAAAACTCAGTTTCATTATATCAATCGGCAAGGTGAAAAAAATCAAGCGTGTTAAATATAATGTTTCACAAGTACTGTTTAATGAAAACGCCTGTCAATTATTTTCAAGTTATTTTATCCAAATAAAATAATTGGTGCAGTTAGGATGAAAAAGTATATATCTTTCATAGATTGATTCAATCCATATAAGTCGAATAAATGGAGTAGTTATGTAGAAAGATTCAAATTTTTTCTTGAGGAGAATGTTACGAGTCAAAAACTCACAACGAACTTTTCCATTTTTGTAGCATAATCACCCTGTATTTCGAATAGTGAGGCTGATTCATTGTGTATCAACTAATTCAAATTTATAGACAACCAACTTTTCTTTGAAATCATTGCAGAATGGGTTATATATCTAACGGCCATTATCGGCCATTGTCGATTTAAAATATACCATTCGCTTGGACAGCTTAGGTATCACTCTAATTTTATATGAATTGTTTTTCAAATAGTTTTTCTAAACAGGCTTTTTGAAGTAAGGAATTGGCGAGCGATTGTAAAAGATTTCGACTGATGTACCTACCTACGTAGATTAGTGCTGGTTTTCTGTTTCGCAGTTAGAATGCGATTTTGTTTATTTCCATATTGAGATATCTAGCTTTTCATTGAGTTTTCGTGCATTTGGTTATAAATGCGAAAACGTGTTTCATGATTTTTTTTTGGATTTGGAACACAAGTGCTGTGAACAGCACTTGTGTTCGATTGATCACTCGAAAGTTCTTTTACATAAAGCCTACACAACATCTCAAGTGAATAAATACAATTGCACCTTCCTGGTGTAACATTTCCTAATTTTCTTTTTTTTTTTCCTGTTTCGTTCAGGGCTTTTTATATATATACCACAAAGAAAAGGTCTGATTACCAATACAAATAAGTTGGGCTGTTAAGACGGTTCTGAAGACCTGTGTATCCTGGGACTTATCCTGGAGTAGGTGGCATAAATATAAGTTTTATGTTTGTATCGTTTCCAGCATCTATAGTCAGGTCCAGTACATTTTGATTCTCTTATTGCTTTCACAAGTAATCGTTCAAGCGAAATCCAATTGAGCATTATCCTGTTTGAAGAGAAAACAACGACTGATATTTATTTATAGTGTTTTTTTTTAAATTATAATTGAGTTTACTGAAGTCATGAAGTTCCATTATGTGGTTTGTTGAAAATTACGATATGTTTGGAAAAGTATGTCAGCCGAAATATAGGTCTATATGGAGGTATTAAAATTAAGTGTTACAAAATTTGATATCAAAAATATCGTCATAAGTGTCACAAACAATAATTTACGTGAACATTGACGTTCCTGAACCATTTTATTTTGTTCATTTTATAAATTTTGTCGTAACCATAACTGGAAATTTGATAAAAGCACACCGCCTATTTGAATTTGGTTTGTATGGTAATCGCGCTTATACAAATTCACTGTTTTATGATTTATTTTGTGAGTTAGGTATTTGACATGAACTACTGATTGGTTTAAATCACGTGGAGCTCATTTTTTGCCTTTCACAAATTATGACTCACGCCCACTATCTGAGTAAGTTGGCGACCAATCAGTGGTCGAGTTCCTGGAAACCGTATAGAATAGGTAATCGAAGCTGCGTGGTAACAAAAATTCATAAAAAAAAACATGCAGCTTTCATCACTTTTTGTAGAGATGAAGAGGGCACTACATGGATTTTGAAAACGGTAAAAGAGATAGCAACTGTAAAATAGAGGAGTAGTAGCACAATTGAAATCATATTAAGATTCCATTTGAAAAACCCAAACATTTTGAATACTTCAGAAAACTGTCTGGGACACTTGTTATTTTTCAGAATTGCCATCAGTTGTTGATTTTGAGTGAGTCTTGTTACATTTCATGAATACGACTAATTGGCATTTTCTTCTCTTACTTGTTTCCTATGAGTTTATATTTATACATCTCTGAGGTTGACTCATAGTAATAAAATATCAAGATGGGCGAATAAACCTATAATTTTTACAGAGATGAACAACACAACAAAATGGTAAATAAGTAGTTAAAAAGTTTGTGGAAGAATAAGTAGGTATGACACCAGTAGTGATTTAATCTCAAACATGTGTAATGATCTAATGACTCAAATGATTAAAAAATTTTCTTCAGACAGTGTCAACAACTTTCATTTATATCCCTACAAAAATTAAAGTATCTAATCATAGGTGGTGATCTCAATAGTAACCAATTTAGTAATTCTACGGAGTCTAAAACATAATAGGAATAAAATAATTTTTAAAAACAAGCTTTTATGAACATGCTCTAAAAATACAAAACTCAAGTTTAAATTGGATCAAACTTATCAATTTATTATAATACATAATTAATATGATACAAAATATAAATTTGCCGAGAAAAAGTTACAACTTGTACTATAGTGGTTGAAAAGTCTCAGGCCCAACACGTAGATGGCGCTAGTCTTATTGCATTCACCGCTTTTAGTTAGTGAACCTAACCTAACCTAACCTTCAAAAGAAATTTCATGATATTCTACTCATAAGTTTGTGAGTTATTGTGTTAAGAGTGACACTACTTTTGTCATTTTCAAAACAATGGATCAAAAACAATTTCGTGTTTTAATTTCACACTGCTTCTTGATGGAAAAAATTATTGTTCAATGGAAGCAATTGCTGAAAAGTGTTACAATGACTCCACTCCATCAGAAACAACAATTAAACATTGGTTTGCTGACTGCAAACGTGGTCGTAGAGACATTGATGATGTAGAACGCACTGGACGTCCAAATGAAGCAGTAACACAAGGAAAAAATTTAAAAAATCCACAAAATTGCTTTGAATGATCAAAAATTGAAGTTGAATGAGATATGAAAAGAACGTGTTGGCTTCATATTGCATGAGCATTTGACTATGAGAAACCTCTGTTCAAAGTGGGTGCTGCCCGAGCTCACTGTTGACCAAAAACAAGAGTGTCTTGAGCAGTGTTTGGCCATGTTTAAACATAACAAACCGAAATTTTTGCATCGATATATAACAATGGATGAAACATGGATTCATCACTTCACTTTGGAATCATAACGACCGTCACCTGAGTGGAGAGCAAATGGTGAACCTCGTCCAAAGCGCCCGAAAGCACAACAATCGGCTGGGAAGGTTATGGCCTTGGTGGGATGTGTGTGGTGTAATATTCGACTATCTCGAGAAAGGAAATACCATCAACAGTGAATATTATATGGCGTTATTATAGCATTTGAAGACCAAAATTGCAAAGAAACGACCGCATATGGCAAAGAAAAAATGGTGTTTCATCAAGACAATGCATCGTGTCACAAGTCAATCAAAACAATTACCAATCTACATGAATTGAACTGCGAATTGCTCCCGCATCCACCGTATTCGTCAGATTTGGCTCCAAGCGACTACTGGCTGTTCGCAGACCTCAAAAAATTCTCAACAGTAACAAATTTCGGTCGAATGAAGAGGTTATTGCCGAAACTGGCCTATTTTGAGGCAAAAGATAAATCATTCTACAAAAGTGGTATTGAAATATTAGCACTGGAATGATTGTGTGGCTCTTGATGGAGATTATAAATAAAGCCAATTTTGAACAAAAAAAAACGTGTTTTCTTTCTTAGGCCCGGAACTTTTCAGCCCAGGTGTTATTCCTATCTATCGACACAGGAAAATCTTGCGACAAGCTTTTATATCACATAAATTGTGTAATGTAATAGATTGATGGGATGATTCGAAGTTTAGTTTTTCGTTTCAGAATATGTGAGTAAAACTTGTTTCCAAAAATGTTTTGCTACTATTGATTCATTTTTTATTTATCACTGGATAGTTCTCTAGTCTGTTGAAGCATTTTTTTCAATTGAAAAACTATTTTGGCAATTATGCTGGATGCCTAGAAATTCAACAAACATATTTTATTTATATTCATTATTCACCATCGTCCTTATGGATAGCTTATTTTTGACAAATTCAGAAATATCTCTTTTGTAAAAAACCACTTTTTGCATTACTCATAATTTATTTGTAAGCAATATAACAGTCTACGTCATTTTCAATTTATATTGCTCACATCACCAGTAATGTAAAATATAGTTTGATTTTTTATTTATATATTGCATTGTATATACACATCTTTGATAGAAAACCTCACGAATAAAGATACGATCTTAGAGAATAATAAGTAACAGATACTTACCTAAAGAAAAGGTTTTTGTTGTTGACATATTGCCAAATCCAAAAGTTGGTTTACTAGCAGCTGAAGGATTCGTTACTGAAGAAGAACCAAATGAAAATTTCGGAATCTGTACTTCAGTATAACTTTTTTGTGTTGAAGGATTTGTTACTGGAGGTGAAACAAATGAAAATTTCGGAATCTGTTCTTCAGCATTCGTTTTTTGTGTGTCAGAGTTAGTTTTCTCAGTGGTACTGTCAGGAACATTTTGTAAAGCTTTGAAAACGAAGTTACTCATTGAAGAGACTTGTTTCTCTTTTTCAGTATCAACCACTGTCAGTTCGTTTTCATCTGCAGATGTTGAATTAGTTTCTAGTTCCAACTCTTTGAAGTACTGTTCATAATCTTTAAATATCGGTTGTAGATTTATGAGAGGGTTTGCATCTACATGTTTTTTAATCCAATTCGAAACACTTTCGTTGAGCCCTTTCAGTTTTGAATAATAAATTTCAGACTTTTTGTCTGTAGATTTTGGAATACTAGTATCATTTGGAGCATTAGTGCTTTTTGTATGTCCAAAAGAAGTGGTATTGGTAGTTGAAGTTGGGACAGAAAACTTTTCTTGAGTATCTGGTACTGACTTCTTGGTACTCTCACTAAAGCCATTAGTTTTTGGAGCAGCAAGATTTGATAAAAAGGAAAAAGAAGTTGATGTCGGTGGAGTTGCATTGGAAAACATTAGGCCTGTGAATGCACTTTTACTTCCAGATTCGCCATTGTCCTATAAAAAATAAATTCATGTATAAATAAATTAAATAAATAATATTTTGCGATAAATAATTCAACTCAACAATTTGAATATTTGCAATCCTCAAAATTACACTGAAAAGGTTTTGTTCCAACTGGTTAATTATTGCTCCGATTTTTTGATATACTAACTTTGAAGTGTATTTTAGCCCTTTCTAATTGAAATTCTGGTAGATATTCATGTAACAGGTATTTTCAATACCCATTGCCATTTTCCTTTCGACTCCATTAAAACCTAAATTCTGTAACCCACCCAATTTCATGAAATTTGACAAGTACATTTTGACTTTTCCTTAGTTTCAAGAATTTTTCTTCACTGATCGGTCGAGTTATTCCTTGATAATCATCCTATTCATAAATATTTGTAATGAGGTGACATATTGCTTATGATTTTTTAAAGTTGGGGGTTTATTAAAATTGAATCCCAAACTTGTTAAGGTACCGAAAAATAAATTTAAGGCTTTAAATTTCACGGTAATTTGGACATAAAAAACATTACTCAGTGTTCACCGACAGACTGAAGAAGTTTATCACTAAAGACAATTCAAAAATTGCGGTGTATAATACCAAAACCCAACACCATTCTATATACTCAAAATTGAAAGATGAGATTCACCAGTGGAACCCTGTATGGATTGTAATATGTTATACGTAGGTCAAATTAAATATTTGAAAACTACACTCAAGCAGCATGAAAATGATTGATCAGACTAAATAAAGTACCCGTCATTTTGGGTTGAATCTCAAATTTCATTTCAATTCAACAAAAATCATAAAGAAAGATTCTATCAGAAAGACATTTTAGAGACGGCTCATCACCAGTGATAAGAGTGTCAACTTGAAAATGGATTTCAACATTTTGAACAATATTAAATATTTGAAAACTACACTCAAACAGCATGAAAATGATTGATCAGACTAAATCAAGTACCCGTCATTTTGGGTTAAATCTCAAATTAGATTTCAATTCAACAAAAATCATAAGATTCTATCAAAAAGACATTTTAGGGACGGCCCATCATCAGTGATAAGAGTGTCAACAAAATGGATTTCAACATCTTGAACAATATTTATAGGAATATTTCGACAACGCATAGATCTACTCTCAGGTAGAAACAGATTTAACTGATTTTATAAAAAAAAAACAGACACATCTTGTTTCGGGGAAACTGAATGCTAATTGAAGAATCAAAAACATATATATTTACAAATATCCTAATCAAGTTTCAATGTGTATTTTTAATTGTGAGTGCATTTTATGTCTACCAGTGATTATTCACTTTTTCAATTATACACTATTTCAAATGCAAACGATTCTGTGATTTTTTTAGAGACACTGACACCAGTATTTGCCAAAACAATTTGGTGAATATACTCAGGGGATGGCATTGCACAAAAGTTTTCTGACAATATAATTATAATTCAATATATTTTGAGTAGGGTTTTTTATGACCAACTGCCCGTGAAATTTGAAGTCATGACACATATAGATCTTAATACACAAGTTTGCTCATGAGATATGACGATTAAATTCAAAATTAATTCGCACTCAGTAGTTGCATTGCGTACAAGTTCAAGACTACTGAATAATAATCATAAGCTGGATTGTGCATAGTAATTTGTTTACCAATACATTGACGAAACTGAAAGATGGACCTTTCTGGAAGAAAGTAAAACACAATTCAAAAATATGTTTTAATAAAGGTAGTCAAAATACATAGAAAGATACTAAATCTGATGATCACTCTAAGTAGTCTTCTGCTTCTTCTAGTCAGACACTATCTAGTCTAGCAGTCTTTTTTTTAATTTCCTTTTATTTGCCTCTAAAATCCATAAGAGCCTTCAAATTATTTTCAACATTTTTGTCTGCTGCATCATTTAGATCTTCATCATCTGCTTTAATAGTTAGTTTGCATGGTTTGCTTCGTTTTTTGGTTCAACTTTGTTTTCCTCAATATTCCTTCTTCTTCGTTGCCTCTATTTTTTCTTCTCGGCTTCAATTTTTTTTCAACTTTCCAGCCCAGCAAGGTACGATTTATAAGAAAGTCTCAAGTAATGGGCACCTTGTGTACTTCTTCATTATAGCGCTTAAGGCCATCCTTCGCACTCATTAAAGCCTCTGAAAGACAAGTTCCGAACTCATGACAAATTTGTCATGAGCGAGTAGCCACACATAACGTCGGTATTATAATGCGGAAAGACAATAACAGCTTCAACAAGCCTGGTAGGCTCAACCATAAAAAATATTTCATTCCAATAAATATCTATTATTTTATTAGTAATTGAATCAGCAAAGAGGTCGAGTTTTTTACTAGAGTATTCAAGTATTTCTTCCACTGCTTAAGGATCTTCAACAATATATACAAATATAATGATGTAATAATTTATTCATTTGTGTGTAAATATGACTATTTTCTAATCAACATTTTTCTGATTACAATTCAATTATCATTATATATTTAATACAAAATCACTAAGTGGGTGATATTTTTAATCAAATCAATCATGATTTTAAATTAAAAATCCAATATATTAACAATCATAATTTTTTTGGGAAAAATAAGTAAAAGGGTATCTCCTATAGGTAAATTGGGTAATAATCGCCTAGAGGAGAATTGTGAAATTCAAATATTAAAATGTGCATTGTATATTAATACAAATATTTCAGCAGGCTTTGTTGTTAGAGCAAATACATGTATGATAAATTGATTAAGGCTTTCGCTGCCAAAATTTTCAGTGTTATGATCTTAGTTCAGGTTTAAAGGCCGTCGTGTTTTGGAACAGTTCCAAACCAAATACATGTATATAGATTAGTTTTTAGGTTACTTCGTTTGTTTACTCGTCAGTTTCTGGTCAGTATGGCGAAATAATTACTAAAAGGTAAGACGAGTAAAAGGCTTAGCGTTTCATTTCTGGGAAAGAATATTACAATAGATAGATGTAGCGACAAATATTTGAATGTTTGTCATCGATAACCAATGTTTTCCTTAAGCCCAACGTTCGAATTACAATATCTAGATGTCTTCCACACCATGTTCCTCTCAAACACAATTGATATTAAAAAGAAACATTTTTCAGCAACTGTCACTCTGACAGTTATTGATATTTTAAAGATATTGTATCGATAATTAGAAGTTTTATTAATATTTTTTAAAAGAATTGTATATTCTATTTATTTTAATATAATTTGACATTCTCCTATGCTGAAGAACACGCAACTTCGTCAATAACCATGTATTGTTCTTTGAACAATGAAGTATTTTCTTTCTTGACATTTCATAAAAATTTCCTCTCCCTATCATAAAGAATTCCTTATCTCCTTTGGAAGGCTAATTGAATTATAAGTTAAAATATTTTCATAGTGACAAACTCATCAACAGCTATAACCAGTCCATGCTATGGTAATAACTAACTGAGTTATCTAAGGAACATGACTATTCGCAGTCCCATTGGCTAGATACATTTTTGTACGAAACATATCTAGTTGTAGATTAAGAACCAGATACGCGCCATTATTAAATATAAAATATTTATAACAGTTGTGATTTTTCACCTACTGAAGAGTATTCCATTCTGTATAATATTGAGAAACGGGTTTCATCGAAATCAATAGTCCAAAACTTTTATGCTTCGTCAGAATTCAAAAGGACCATTTTGATGATATTTAGTTTTCAATTGTACATAACATATTCATGAAAAAATCAATAACTCGAGAAGGGTTACATAATACCTTTTATGAAATCATAACATTTTTTCCTGACCTATTCAAATTTTTCTAGCCACTCCAAAATAATTTCCTTTTGCAGCCTTAATCAATATACATATCTGTACCCAGAGGTAAAGGACACCATGTCACAATTTTGTAATTGTTCAGGAGAGAGGACTTTCCATATTTTTGAACTATTAATATTTGTAGAACTAGCTTAATGAAAGTTTCTTACATTGTTATTGGCATTGGTAAGTATTTGAAAGTATTAGAAAGTATTAATCCTAGATTTATTTATGACAATTTACCTGAAGTATCACCTATTTTTTTGGACATAGTTTGATATATCTTTAGACATGAATGATGATTTATGGACTTAGTGTAAAAGTATTATTATTGTTCAAAAAGAATGTTCACCATCAATCAATGTTTCAATGAATTTTTATAGTTACAGATAAGATATGAAGGTATATGTAAGGTATAAATAAAGGTATAATAGGCAAGGTATAAGGCAATGACAATATAGTTTATTACAGAACAACATTTTTCAATAATATACATAAATATTAGTGAAGTGATAGTGTTTGAAAAGTAATACATAGCTTGTCAAAGAACATTACAATACAATACAAGTTTAAAATAAAACATTTTTAATCCTCAGATGAATCACTGTCGTTATCACCGGTTGGATAGTGATGGTTATTGAAATTATTTTTTGAAAGTATCTTATAAAAGTCATACCAAAAACTAGGAATGTAAGGTAATAAAGGAATGAGGTCATTGAATTTGCCAAATTTTGTTCTGTCTAACTTGAATACGGATGCAGCTAGACATTATAAACTTCTCCTTATCGACAGTTTGTTTTTGATGTGTAAATGGTACGTTTTTGCCTTCATGCAGTGCATTAAATTGTTTAAAGTCATCTTTCTCCATGTTGCTGGAACAATGGTGCACCATCTGCTGCCAGTCCCAGGGAGTGAGGATTGTCAGGTTGTTGAGGTTCTTCCGTTTTAACAGGAACTTTATATTGATATAATTTAGTTGAGGAAATTTTTTCAAAATCCAGAAAACACACAGTATAACTGAAATATTTTCGTTCTGGCCAAAGCAGTTATCTGACCAGAGCGTTATTTCTTCAACATTAGAAATAGGAATTACAGGGTCAGCCCATTTCAAAATAGCTGAAGAGATTACCTCTCCACCTCTACCAGCTTTCGACTCCTACCTTCCCAACTTCGGCCTCTGTTACAGGTTCCAGAAAAAATTAGTTGCCTTGAACTTGCACGAGTTTAAGGTAACTAGATGCATCAATACCGTTGGATGGTAATGAGTTTATAAAATTGTTAGCAAAAATCTTGAAATAATCATTCAAGTCATCTGTGAGAATAAATTCTTTATCTTGTTTTGTTGTTGTAAGGCTTGTTTTTTATCTCTACAATCATGGCTTTGTATTGATAATTATATTTTATTTGTAACTAACGTTACTTCAGTTTCGTCCTATACGGACATTTTCAAACTTATACAATAAACTTATTGTATAAGTTTATTGTATAATATAAACTTATTGTATAAGTTTGAAAATGTCCGTATAGTATGAAACTGCAGTAACGTTAGTTACAAATAATAATTGGATTACGTCTGACAGACACATTGTATGGTGTGTGATGGGATCGGCCGATACTTGGATGAAAATCCATAAAGTATTCAAAACACACTTCATTGTGAGATTTTCAAACGCAACACGTCTTTCGCTATACGATAGCTTCTCCAGGCGTGCCTAAAGAAGCTATTGTAAAGCGAAACACGTTATTTAAGCTCAAAAACTCAGTACCTAACGGTACGCATATGGCACTTTATACCTCGCAACAGAAAACATGCAACGCTGCACACCAAGGGTAATACACAGCATAGCGAAAACAAAGGAAGATTAGTATTGTATAAAATACAGTCACGAAAAACCCATCTTGTCTATTAGATGTGTTCATCCAGAAATCTTGCACAAAGTTGATTATTCCTTTTTCTTAAAACCACACAATCTACAATCCACCCAATATCCGAGTTGCGTTTTTGTAAAACTGTGAAAATCTGTTGTGGGTCAAAAACTCACAACGAGCTTTTCCATTTCTGAAGCATAATCAACCTGTATTTTGAATAGTAAGGCTGATTCATTCTGTATGAACTGATTCAAATTTATAGACAACCAACTTCTCTTTGAAATCATTGCAGAATGGGTCATATATCTAATGGGCGCTTCATCGACCATTGTCGATTTAAAATATCCCATTCGCTTAAACAGCTTATCACCCTAATTTCATATGAATTGTTTTACAAATAGTTTTTCTAAGCAGGCTTTCTTAAGTAAGGAATTGACGAGCGATTGTAAAAGATTACGACTGATGTATTCGATGTAGATTAGTGCTGGTTTTCTGTTTCGTTGTGAGAATGCGATTTTGTTTATTTTCCTGTTGGGATATCTAGCTTCTCATTGAGTTTTCATGCATTTGGTTATTAATGCGAAAACGTGTTTCATGATTTGTTTTTCTTTGGATTTGGAAAAACTGTGAACTGCACTTGTGTTCGATTGATCACGTGTAAGTTCTTCAACATAAAGCCTACACAACATATCAAGAGAGTAAATAAATACAACTGCAACTTCCCGGTGTAACATTTTATAATTTTCTTTTTTTTTTCTGTTTCGTTCAGGACTTTTATATATACCACAAAGAAAAGGTCTGATTATCAATACAAATAAGTTGGGCTGTTAAGGCTGTTCTGGAGACTTGTGTATCCTGGGCCTGGGACTTATCCTAAATATGGTGGCATAAAGATAAGTTTTATGTTTGTATCGTTTCCAACATCGATAGTCACGTCCAGTACATTTTGATTCTCTTATTGCTTTCACAAATAATCGTTCAAGCCAAATCCAATTGGGCATTAACCTGTTTGAAGAGAAAACAACGACTGATATTTATTTATAGTGTTTTTTTAAAGTTATAATTAAGTTTACTGATGTCATGAAGTTCCATTATGTCGTTTGTTGACGATATGTCTGGAAAAGTATGTTAGCCGAAATGTAGATCTATACGGAGGTATAAAAATTAAGTGTTGCAAAGTTTGGTATCAAAAATATCGTCATAAGTGTCACAAACAAAATACAAACGTTAACATTGACGTTCCTAGTTCCTTTTTACTGGGTCGAAATAAATTGTCTCTGAACCATTTTATTTTGTTCATTTCATAAATTTTGTCGTAACCATAACTGGAAGTTTGATAAAGGCACACTGCCTATTTGAATTTGGTTTGTATGGTATTCTCGCTCATACAAATTCACTGTATCTTTTACGGAAAAAAGTNCTCTAGTATCACCTTTGATTAAAAAGCAGGATACGATCATGAGAGAAGCCATGACACCACATAAAAAATTGATAGCAACATTGCGATTCATTGCTACTGGAAGGAGTTATGAAGACATAAAGTATTCAACTATTATTTCACCGCAAGCATTAAGTTATATACTTCCTGAAACATGCCATGTCATTTACAAGGTGCTAAGAAGCAGGTATTTGAAGGTGAGTAATAGAATTATTTTAACTCAGTTATTTATTGATATTTCAACGAAGAGACATACAAAAAGTAGGTGCATGTTATATATAATAAACTGTTACAAAATAACATTAGATATCACTACAATTTGAAATATAGGACGTGATAGACTGATTGGAATTGTCATTGGTAGTTACTGGAGAAAGGGTTTCATAATGTACTTGAGATTGGGGGAAGGTTGAAGGTAAATTGGAGTAATTAGTATTGAAATGTTGAGTTGGAGAACAATCTGTAAATGTATTGTTAGTTTCACCACGAATACCATGGGACGGAGTCAAGTGACCCATTTCTGCCATGAATAATGTGTCGTTAATTATTTTTTCTGCTAACAATCTCTGAAGATTATTTGTCACTTCTCTCATTTTCAGAGCGATGTTTTTCTCAAAAATATCATATCTATTTTCTTTTATCTTAGGTTTTTTTGAATGAGATTCAATTGCTTCCAACATAGTATCACATTTGTCATTTTTGCATTTAGGTGGTCGGATTGTGGTGCTTTTTTTCGGGGTAGATTGTGTGGCCTCAATTGTTTGACTATCAGTATCATCATGTGTAGTTGACTCACCATCCTGAATCGGTAGATCTAAATTTTCTTGAGAATTTTCATCTGATTAGGCTTCAATTTCTTCCTGAAAATAATATTTAGCAAATATATAAAATCTACTTTAAGAAATAATGTAGTTGGAGTTATTTTGTACAACATATCGCTGTTTTTCTGTAGTTTTTCTCCAGGTTCCACAAACTGAAAACGATTGGATGGCTATAGCAAAGGATTTCGAAAAAAAAATGGAATTTCCCTCATTGTCTTGGCAGCCTCGATGGAAAACATATCGATATAATTCCTCCAGCCAACAGTGGATCATTTTTTTAATAACAAACACAGACATAGTTTAGTTCTACTTGCCATAGCAGATGCAAATTATAAATTTGTAAATTTAAGCCATTCAATGCTAAACAAGTTAGAGAAGAATTCATGAATTTCTTTTCCAGTGAAGGAGCAGTACCTTGGCAAAAAACATTTATATATCAATAAAATATTGTATGTTAAGTATGTCTTGACGTTTTATGCAAATAAATAAAGGTGTAATGTATAATAACTAATGACTAATTCTATTTATGTGACTTACTACTTATATGTATGAATAAAAAAACTCACCTCTGTCTCATTCAAGTTAGATACTGATTTTCTAGGTGTCTCTTGATCTCGTATAAAGTGTAACAGGTGATAGTACCAAAGTGTGGGCTCATAACGTTCATTTGTACCCATTCCAGAGTGATCCGCATCTTCAACTTTCTTCTTTTCTCTTCTATAGTTAGTGCGGAAGGAGTTTATCTTTTTAACAACTGTATCCTTATCAGCATTAGCATCAATTAACTTATATTTTTCTACTAATATATTGTATGCTGCATCTCTCTTTGCTTTGTTATGATAATCTTTAGGATTGATCAAATCAATCCCATCGTCAACAAGTACACCATCGCCAATGTCTTAGATGAATCGTTTATANGTACTTTGAACGAATCGTTCAAAAGTTATCACGATGAGATTAACTTGATGCAACGCAGTAAGCTATTACGCATCGCATCTACTGTAAGACGACGGGAAACGATGCGTGTGGGTAGAGGGGCGGTCTAACCAATGAAGCGCCATAGCCGAGAACGCGACCGAACGCGGGTAGACGCGTTCGGGCAGACGACGTTGTGTTCATTTTGCGGGATTTCTCTATAGGTTACATAATTCGATTGTCCAAGCTATTCATCACTTAGTGCAGTTGGCATATTTTTTCAATTACTTATTTTTGAAGTAAAAATATAAATCACTAGCTATTGCCCGCGGCTTCGCCCACGTAGAATTTGGTTTGTCACATTAACTTTCGTGACAGACCATTTTGAACAAATAGTTCAAAATGATCTGTCACGATGAACTGTCACACTGAACTTAAGATTTCCAACTTCAAAACTGACGAAAGTCAATACAATCTTTGAACCCCCAATATTTTCCCTTTCTTGATACTTATTTACGCTATACAAAGAACCTACCTGCCTATTTCAAGATCCTTGGTTCAGTAGCTTCGGCTATATGTTAATATAATTGTGTCAGTTGATCAATAGGTACACACTTATACAATACTGGCTCAAACTGTTTGAGTAGAGCCTTGATGACGACAGCACGACCAGCTGTCGAAAGCACTGGCATATAAATAAATTGGTGTTTTAAAGCTTAAAATATTTTTTGTACCAATTATTAATATGAAAATACTGATAATAGTTGCATCATCAACTTTGTATTTTTATATGAGCCGAATCTAAAGTATACCCTATGTACGACTCCTTTGTTCATTGTCAATACAGCAACATATCACACAATATGATTTCATATCCATCTCTTGCGCAAAATGAAAAGTGGTCACCTAACCTGCTTTTCTTCAATTTAAGATAGCACGCGCTGGAAAACCAAAATTACTTCACAAAGTTGTTAGTATACACAAACTTCTTAGGGTGATGACTTTCCTAAGACAGAGGATTGTTGGAAAAGATAAGAAGAATTGGTTCTGAGTAAAATATCAGAACCCGCTTCAGATCCAGAAACAACATCGGTAGCAACCTCACGAAAACCAGGCCACCAAACGCGGACTGAGAATATAAAAATTGCATATTCCGGATACCCTTTGAGTGCGGCAAATTCTATATCGGTGAAACTAAAAAGCTATTGAAAATCTGCATTGCCGAGCACATGAAAAAATACACAGCGAGGAGTAAACAGCAAATCGGGAATAGCAGAGCATGTTTCGAGCATCAACATAACCTCGAATGGTCCCATGCTGATATCATCTACAGGGAGGAACACTGGTTTTAGAGTAAGTTCAAAGAAGACTCATACCTATATGTTGTCCAACGAAGCATTCGTACAAGCTAGCGTAAAGATACGCAACATATGGAACCTATAATCAAGGAGATAACTCCCGCCAAACGGACAACTCCCGCTAAACTAGTGAAGCGAAAAAAGAAAAGAGGGGATAGAAGAAAGTGCTCGAATTACCTATAAATATTCATCTCTGGAGAGATAATCCAGTCATCACTCGGAAACGATTGCGGATACTAACAGTCGAAACGTCGTGAAGTATCTTGATTTGAAATCTTCTTTAATGTATTGTTTTTGATTTTTTGCTGATTTTTATTTTTATTTTTTTCATTTTTCAGATCTCTTTTTTTACTCTATGGTCATTTTCATTTTGTATCTTGATTATTTCATTCGTTTTATTGTATTTTCGTTTTATTGTTTGATAAAATTGATATTCCAGCTATTCATTCTAATTTTATTTGTTCTTTCATTGATGTCAAATCACAGTAGAATCATATTAGACAATAGGAGTCCGAACTGATAACACTCAGTAACTTCCATGGTGTAGTTGTTGTAGCAGAAGAATTTGCTGCTTTAGTGGTATTGACGGTCTCAACACCTATGTTGAAAAACCATGTTAATCAAATTCATCAATATAACAAAAAATTATCTCTTCTTCATTCATGCATTTACTGAATTCATTCGCTTTCTATAATGGAAAAAATTGATTTCATCGAAATTTGAAATTAATTTTTAGAAAGAAAATCTGCTGGGATTTTCATGATTGATTGAATTCTTACCGTGAATGGTGCCAAAATTGATAAAATGAACGTTATCTAGCAATAACTTCAAAGAACAAGGTTGTGAATGTTTTCATAAATGAAGTGAATATACAATTCAATCTTGGTAGATAAAACCAGCAAATAAGTATTCAACAGATATCAGAATGAATTATTGTTGCATAGTTTGCAAGAAAGGGCGCATTATATTCACCTGCATAAAAGGCACAGATGATTAAAACTCTGATTTCTGTCGAGTACTTACCTGTTGGTTTCATCATAAAGGATCAAATCGTCATTTTGTATATTTTTGAAAACACCATACAACCTAGTCCGTTACTTCCGAAAGAGGATGCAAAAAATAACAATTCAAAAAAGTTTACTTGCAAGTCAAACAATAAAAAAATCTACTTTCATACTTTCTGAACAATGTTATTGACAAAAAGATAACTAGTTAAAACCAATCAAATAAAGTTACCGACAGCTATTTTCTGCGAATTTAACCATTCAAAATAATTCTGTGAAATTAATTTTGCAGTGACGATGTTCTCTGAATGAAAAAAAAATTTACTCCAGATTGTATTAAATTGGTCTTGAAAATAAGGGGCAACTTTAGTTTGTCTGGTACTTCTAACATAAAGCACTATAGATGTCATCAAGTAAGCTGAGTCAATGAAACACATCCCGATAAATAATATTCAGACAAGTTTTCAATCATCTACAGCAAGTCTTGCCGATCTTGGAATTTTCATTTTTTAATTTTACGTCGTTCAGTGAACAAGTTTGGTAACTCTGGAAATTCGATGGCTTCAATCTTCATATTTCTACTTTGCGAAAGCAGCTCCCAATTATCTGTAAATCCTAATTTGTAGAATATCTCTCCTGTGGTGTATATTGTAATGCCAGAAGGCCAGTTACCTGGAATCTCCTTTTGTCTTTCCTGGTCGTACTGACTCATAAAAAGAGATGGAACCGAACGATTTACAAAAAGTGTAATTCAAATACTCCACGTGAAATGGTTCTGTGTGTTTTCGGGCGCTTGCCCAAATTTGAACGTATTCTGCAGGTACATAGATCACCTTGTTTTTTAGTTTTCGTTCAATTTGAGCATGCATGGAATCTGCCTCCATTTGTGTGTGGCCAACCTCAAGATAATTTTGCTCAATAGTAATTCCACTGTTGATTGCAATATTTAGTAAACAATTTGCCATCGTAACATTGCGATTTTGGTACACATCCATCCATATATATTATGATTTTCTTATCTTTTTTCTTCATTTGCGGAATGATCGTATCTACTAAAAATTGTCCCACGATGCTAGCAAATTCTTCGGCGTTGACTCCACCATCACCTTCATGCCACAAATAGCAGAAACCTTTTCGTGTATTAAGCTGATAAATACATAGGTTATGAACGCAGATTTTGGTTTTATAATAAAGACTTGATACATTGCAATGTGGTGCGTTTGACACTGCCTGTAGATCTAAAGTAAAAACATAATCCTTACTGTCCTTGTCCTTCTGTTTTCCGTCACATGCTTCATTCCTCTTGTGAAGATGAACTTGATATACATTATCAACAACATGTCCAAACTTGTGTCTGCAGCAAAGTTCGCATTGATCTTTTTTGGCTGGAACAATGAAATATTCTTAATATCCATAAAGTTATTAAATGTAAAGACAGAGAGAGGTTTTGTTCCTTTATTTAAACATTTAGAACGGTACAAATCGTAAGGAGATTTTTTCGATGCACATTCTGGTAACAGATAAAGTTTGTTTGTACTAGCCCTACAATAATGTGATTCCATCTTTGGCAACTTGGCAAAAACATTATTCAGTTCCTCGGTTTCATCAGCAGATGGACGCCTTGAATTCGGTGTATTTATTTTGGATCCTAGCAGTGGCTCAGAGAAATTGTGTATATCATTTAAAATTCATTTGAAGTATCCCCATTCAAAGTACTCAAACCAGATTCAATTAATCCAAAGGTCAAATCGGTGTGTTCTGGATAATCTCGAAAACTTTGCAGCCCTTCGTTGGTTAATACTTCTTCGTTTTCCAAAACTCATTTTTCCTGATGAGTTGTAACACTGAAAGTTTCCGTTATAACTACATTACCTACAATTTCTAAGTCGACGAATACTATAGGAAGACCAAGTATGAAGTCCGGATCGTCCAGCTGGGCAATGAAATATCATTTTTTTCCTGCTCTACTTCTGAACTGCATTGTAGTGCTAGTGCAACTATCGATTTTGAACGCGACATCTAAAAAAAGCGCATTGGATCCATTGAAATGAAGCTTAAATTAGAAGAAAAAATCAATGTATTTACTGTAAGTTTTTTATAAAAAAAAATATTGAAATCCACAAAATAATTAATAATAGCAACTAAATTTATTACAATGCTACAAACAGAAAATCTCCTCCCTGTGGATGATCTCAGCCAAGGACCACCTGATGTTATGTTGATGAATCCAAACCAGCTCTGATATTCCTGATTTGCTGGTTTCTCCTAGCTGGGTGATTCTCTTGTTCTCGGCAATGCGAACTTTCAATGGCCTTCCAGTTTCACTGATATAGGATTTGCCGCACTCACAGGGTATCCGGTAAATGCAATTCTTAGAATCGCAGTCCGCGTTTGGTGGTCTGGTTTTCGTGAGGCTGCTACGGAAAGAGTTTCCGGATCTGAAGCAGGTTCATAACCTATTGAACACAAATGTCAACTTGTGAAATAGACTATGATTTCAACTCAAGTGCCAGATTATGAAATTTTATTTGTTTGTTACAGATGACTATCATTAACAACAAAATCGGATAATGTGATTTGTAATCAATTGGTGAGAACACTTCAAATAAAAAGGATGATCATGTTTCGTTACCTCGTTGTACTCGGGATCCTCACTCACTCTGGGCCTATCCGTAAGTAAACAATATTTCTGAATATATTGTCATCAATGAAAAAACATGATTTATTTGAAATATTCTGCACATTTTATTAAGATGAAACATATTCGTGACTAAATATTACCGGAGTTTATCCCAACACCAAACCGTCATTTTCAACACTTCGACACATGTTTCGATCACCAAGTGATCATCTTCAAGAGAAATATTCAATTTTCATCCTCTTCCTCTTGAAGATGATCCCTTGGTGATCGAAACACGTGTGGAGTTATTGAAAATAACGATTTGGTGTTGTGATAGAACTCAAATAATAATCATTACTACATCAAAAGTTCCAATCAGTGCATCACAAATATCCGTGATTAATGAGAGTCGATATCATACGAAGATGTTTCAGAATATTTTTTTAAGGTAGGCAATAATTCTGAAAAACTCGAAAGCACGGCTCCGAACCAGATAGATTCCAAAGCTGCACTGGATAATTGTCTCATTTATTTTTTTCGAACCACAGTTCATTGAATTTTCGGTGCGGTATTTTCTTCTCAGTAGATTAATTGAAGGAAAAGAAGGCAACTCAAAATACTGAAATATTTTGAATAGCAGAAATAGAAATAGACAGAAATATCCGAATAATGATTTGTGGCTAATAAATAATAAATCTTTGCTCAAACAGACAGTAGCTGAAATTCAAAATGAATTTATAATTAAGATTCATCTGAAATTTGTCATCGGTTTCATTTATTTTGCATTAAATTGATTTGAAACTGATACTTATTACTGATATATGTTAGGTTATTGTTGACATATCTCAATTTATGACTAAAGTCATAAATTGAGATATTATCTTTGTTTCATTTGAAATATTTATATGTCTGTTTATCAATAGAACTAATCAATTGATATTTCAACCCAATACGAATCAAACTGAAACGAATTTTTTTTCATAATCTTATTTGTAGATCAACTCTAAGTATTTTTAAATGCACTGTTCACTGAAAGGTACATATAGAAAAATGCAGAGTGACGTTTTCTCGATTCAGAAATATCTGTATTCATAGAATCTTTGCCACTTAGGTTTTCGATTTCAATAAAACGTTTTCAGACTTATGGGAAAACTCAAAAACCGAAGTCCACACGAACGAAGTCGCGGGCATCAACTAACTTCAAATTCATTCTCAGCTAACTGATCAATTATTTTGAGACGATTTCACTAAAATTCAACAGCTAGAATTCATAACCTCTAGCGAGAAATCAATCTGAACGAAACATTTTTCCACATCAGAATGCAAATACAGTGTCTCAATGCGTATTTCGCTAACCATGTGAGCATGAACAGGAGAACAGTCTATTTATATTAAAAATTACCACAGGTAATGAGAGCCATCAAAAGTGGGTAATTAAATACCGGTTTCAACAAATTAAAACATTTTCACTTATTTTGTGTCATTTTCCAAAGAATGTTGAGCGACACTCGACTTCTCTTTTCCACAAAACCGAATATATGAAATATTTTTTCAAATGCGTCATTATAGTTACTTTATATGGACCAACATACTTTTGTTGCAATCCGCACAGCCTATTTCGTAAATCCCAGATTTTTTTTTCAGACCGGGAGCCCGTGACAGAAATTTTAACCCCAATTTTTACCGTCTGATTTTTTCATAGGACATATTTAGAGCCACAAGCAACCGTATTATGCGTTAAACGAATTGTTTTTCCATGATACACATGCGGGCCATGACCAACATTTTACCGTCTGCCATTCATCGACCGGAAGGCTAGGTTACGCAACCCACAAGAAAATAATTGGCAGACGGTTACATGGTGTTGTGGCCAAAGCATGATTTTTTTATTTAACCAATAAAATTGTTAACTAAAAGCAATTTTTATCGTCTGCCAAGCACAGCGTAGACTAACAGTAGCATGAAATGAACGAATTTTCACAAGGCGGACGGTTTGCCGTTGTAAATATTTCCTTTGAAAAAGGCAGACGATAAAAAATGGGGTTGAAATTTCTGTCACGGGCTCCCGGTCTATTTTCTGTCATCCGTCTTTCAGATTGCCCACCATTCGTTGGAGTATTCCAGGCGTTTCAAAAAACACTTTCGGGGGCATTTGTTTTTTAATTTGGACCAATCCATATGGAAAAACTGTGGACGTTAGGAACAGAATTGTCCTATTATTCCATTAGTGTTGGACGCACAAAGATGTTACAGTCGAACATGACGACTTACACTCTACACCGTGCTCTAAAAGTCCTGACGTGTTGTACAGTTGTTACAACATTTCGCTATTTCAGTTACCTCACTGTGATTGACAATGGAAATCGATGTCCCTGAACTAATTATCTTGGTGAAACTACTCTACCATATATATTATACTTCACCGGACTATTTATTTCCAGAATTGCTGAAAAAACATTCAATCATCCTTGATCAAGTCGGGAATAGGCTATCTATTTCATGATTCCAAAATCTGGTTTCCTTAGACTTTTCGCATTCTGTGCTTCTTCCGCTAACTGGTATTCATAACGCATCCACTGTGGTTCAACCTAGCGTCTGTCCGTCACCGTAGCTTACTGACCAAACTCTCACCTCTTCATTTGTAGTATTGAACACTCCAAAATAAATATTTTAAGTATCTCTTGCCCCAAGACTTTTTGTATGTTCACCTGCCTTTCGTTTTTCATTAATCAATATATTCCCCGTTCTTTCGTCTCATATACATTTTCTTAATGTATGTGATTTCACTTTCACAAGGTTTTCTGTATCAATTTCGAGCAACTGATTCACTCCACAATTGCCATCCTGAAAAAAAAATGAACTGACACCAACACCCACCTCTGCTGGATATCTATGTTGAAAAATAGGTCTTCGTTTATCCTTATTTCGTACTAGTTTTGAATTGAATAGTTTGAACCTGTTTCTTAAACCCATTCATATGTATATCATCATTATCATCACCACAACAAGACAAAAGAAATAACGAATGACCATTTGTTTCAGCTTCATGTCCAAATGTTGACGGCCCAAACGCAGTATATTTTCCACATGAAACCGACTGCTCAAAATTCTATAAGTGTTCAAATGGTACCCAATACTCACATTACTGTCCACCTGGGCTTGATTTCGATCCTATTCTAAGCCGTTGAGACCGACCAGTCACAGCTGGATGCAGAAAACCCAGTTCCACAAATAGTACTTAGTTCTTGGTCAAATGAGGAACCCCATCCAACTGAAGAGGCTTTGGCGACCAAGAAACCACGACTTACTGAGAAAACTTCCACAAACAGAAAGACTCCACCTACAGAAAAATCGTCAACGACTCACAAATGGCAAAGACCGTGGCGTACAAAAAAACCGTGGCTTACAGAGAAACAATGGCCGACCAAAAATTCATGGCCCACGAAGAAATCTTGGCCTACACAAAAACAATGGCTCTCAAAAAAATCTTGGCCGACCTAAAATATTTCATGGCCATTGTTTATCAAGGAGCTGATATTCAAAGGTACCAGAAAACTCCTTGGAATTCAAATATGCCAAAGATCACTCTTTCAATTATTCTGCTGATGAAATCTGAAATTTTTCATATTTTAATATTCTGTATTCAATATCTAATGAAGTTAGCTTACCTCTGAAGACTTAGATGCCTTTTCGTCGATATATATCTTTATTTGAAATAGGAATTCCTAATATACATACAAATCTTAAAAATTATGATAAATGTGAAAAAATTGTCAATATCGCGAAATATATGAATACATCAATTATAATAGCTACTAGTAATAAAATACAAATAGATAAAAACAATTTTTATATCAATCTGTTAAAAAAATATTCTTCAAAATAAGTGTAAAACAGTGAAACATATGAATGTGTGTGTATAAAGTTAAAAGTATTTTAAAAGCTAAAAAGAAAGAAAAGAAAGTTAAAAGAACGAAAAAAATTAATAAATATCCAGTGACCTTATATGTTTTTTTAGCTGATATTTGAAACTATCGATAGTGACCGAGCATTTAATGTCTTGAGGGAGTTCGTTGAAATCTTTCAATCCCCTGCCAAAAATTAACTAGTATAAAAAATGTGTAAAAGTATAGAACAAAATGTACTTGCTTCTACAGTAGGAAATACAAATGAAACTTAAAAAAAGGAAAATAACTGGTTAAGGATGGTTAAGAAAAAATAAAAGATGTCTTCTACTGATGGAAAAAAATTGTATGCAAACAAAACTGTAGATTACGAACATAAAAGTAGAAATATTCATGATCCTGTCCAACCCACGAAGGGAACACAGACTGGAAAAAATACAAGAACTATTAGAAGACGTTTTTCCAAATGAATTTAATTTCCAGCGATTCAAATTCAACGTGAATCACTACTTTCGCACAGGCACCGCTCTTGTGTGGTTTGTTGTTTTCAAAAAAAGCAAAACCGATTCAATCACGGTAGCAGATTCACATGGAAAATGGGTCTTTGCCTCCCAATATGACGCAAACACAACAGAAAATGACATTGAGATGCTCAGGAAACATACCATCATGTACTCAAAAAACACACTTTAATGTAAGATTTCCACTTGAAAACTAACAAAACCGCAACACGTTTTTTGCTATATGATAGCTTCTTTGGGAGTTACACACCATCATAAAAAGCTGTCACAACTTGAAAACAGGAATTATCAGCCTTTGAAACTGTAGTAGCTGAGAAAAATTACAAGAAAATGTTCAACCCCAACAATTGGTTGACACGAATTTTTTCTAGTAGCTGAGAAAGATTACAAGAAAATGTTCAACCCCAACAATTGGTTGACACGAACTTTTTCTAGTACCTGAGGGAACTACTACTGGTTTTAAGTCACATATACAGTGTATAAAAACCTTCATTTTTCTACCATGTAACATTAAAGTTAGTCGTAACAAAAACATCAAAGCTCTCAAAGAAATAACTTCACTACTTTCATGAATGAATTCATGATGATTTTTTTTCAATGATTTTGAATTGCCTTTCCAGGGCCTCAACTATTTTTATATACATTTTTCAATTCATAAAAGTACAAACATCAGAGAAAAGGAAACTCACTCATATTTTATGTTCTCTCTTGTTTTCTGAGCTAACTCAGCAACAGCTTTCGCTTCCCTGGCCTTGGCTTCCTTCAGTTGATCCTCAAAGTCTTTACATGGTTCTTTCTGAATTAGTTTTGAGTTCTCCTTTAGTTGTTCTTTCAGGCGTTTCACCTCTTGTTTGTGAGATTGTTCCATTTTCAAGACTTTTGCTTGGGTTTTTAAAATGATTTCATCCTTCTGCGTTAATCCCAGATCTAAACTAGCTTTTGCTTGCTGGACTGCGTTAAGTTCTAGTTTCAACTGAGATATCTCCTCCTTCTGTCGCTCCATTTTCTCTGTTAGATCAGACATAACCTACAAAAAGAGTATTAGCGAACACACNATTATGATAAATGTGAAAAAATTGTCAATATCGCGAAATATATGAATACATCAATTATAATAGCTACTAGTAATAAAATACAAATAGATAAAAACAATTTTTATATCAATCTGTTAAAAAAATATTCTTCAAAATAAGTGTAAAACAGTGAAACATATGAATGTGTGTGTATAAAGTTAAAAGTATTTTAAAAGCTAAAAAGAAAGAAAAGAAAGTTAAAAGAACGAAAAAAATTAATAAATATCCAGTGACCTTATATGTTTTTTTAGCTGATATTTGAAACTATCGATAGTGACCGAGCATTTAATGTCTTGAGGGAGTTCGTTGAAATCATTCAGTCCCCTGAAAAATAATGATATCATAGAATTTTTAGTTTTGGTTCTAGCTATATGAAATTCATTATTAGTCCTTGTATCATAACGGTGAATTTGATTGTTATAAGTAATAAAAGACTTGAAGTAACTTGGTAATAAATTCTTTGTGATTTTATAAATGAACATCATTGACATATAAAATAGTCTTTGCGTTACATTATACCATGGTGTACGTTTTTGAAATTTAATGAATAATCACAATATCAAACACCCTTGGAGTTGTCGAAATGTTGAATGATCACTTTAAGAACACTATTTTGTCTTTCTGGTAGTCAAATCTGGAATAAAATTTGATCTACTAGTACTAGCAGAGAATACAACTATTGATAATGATATACCTCAACTCTTCAGAAGACTTTTTGTGGAGGTGTTAATGTTTCTTGCTGTTTTATGGGTTAGTTTCAAGAGAATCAGCTTTGTTTATTTTTCAAATTCTGTGGGGTGGAATACCCAAAAACTGCAAGAAACAAAAAATCGTCTTTTACTCTTGAAACCGTTGAAAGATACAAAACTTTCATGTGTGTCAAAGGTAGTTTCCAATATTGTTGATCGTGTTCTGCAGTTTTCGGCTTAACGTTTCGTCTTCCACTGCGGCATATATCATCAAAGGCGATGAACTAACGGGGCTTCAATTGTCCCCACATTGGATGATACTAACCTGCAGATCACAACCGACAAACGTGAAAAATAGCTTTGAGACATTTCGGCTGCTCCATACCAAAGCTAATGATGTATTTGAATGCATTTTCAAAGGAGGTCTGGTAATCATTTCTTTTTTTTTGGTACGTTCGACAAACTATCATTTATCACATACTGTGTTTTGGCAAAAACTATTCGTTCAACTGTAAGCTGAAATGAATCATCGGCTGGTCACTTATCGAAGAACAAATACAAATCAAAACACAACAGGACCTAACAATCAATATACTCCAAAAAATACAGATTCCTAGAAACAATGAACCTAGAGAAACAACAACACAAAGAATATTACCTGATGTAACCCAAGTACTGGCAAATTTAATGAGACATCCGAATGAAAGTGGAGAACAAATACCTGTCCAAAACCTAATTGAGATAAAACGTTCAGGTTGAGTATAGCCATATATATATATATATATATATATATATATATATATATATATATATATATATATATATATATATATATATATATATATATATATATATATATATATATATATATATATATATATATATATATATATATATATATATATATATATATATATATATATATATATATATATATATATATATATATATATATATATATATATATATATATATATATATATATATATATATATATATATATATATATATATATATATATATATATATATATATATATATATATATATATATATATATATATATATATATATATATATATATATATATATATATATATATATATATATATATATATATATATATATATATATATATATATATATATATATATATATATATATATATATATATATATATATATATATATATATATATATATATATATATATATATATATATATATATATATATATATATATATATATATATATATATATATATATATATATATATATATATATATATATATANTGTGGCACCCCCGGAAACCGGAGGCACAAGGTCACCCATCTGTTTTATATGGATGATCTTAAACTTTATGCCTCTGGAGAGAAGGATCTCCATCAGTCCTTGAGGGTGGTGGAAGAGTACACGCATGCTATCGGTATGGAATTCGGGATAGACAAATGTGCAATGGTTCATCTCAAAAGAGGACGATGCGGGGACTACGGAGAGGATGTGCAGCTCGTAGATGGAATCATCCTACACTATCTGGATGTCGGAGAGACGTATACTCACCTCGGGGTGGAACAACTCCACTCACAAGAGGGAAGTGCAGTGAAAAATTCATTCCGTGGCAAGTATCAGCACAAACTTCGACAGATCTTATCATCGGAACTGTCGGGAAAGAACAAAGTTCTTACTCTACCCGTTTGGAGTAGTGAAGTGGACTCGAGAGGAGCTGAATCAACTCGACGTAAAGACCACACCTCTGTCACCGAGTTGGAACCTGTTCAGCAAAAATCTCTTTTTTTTTTATTTTGGCAACGGTAATCTATTTTTTTGCCTATCAAGGATAACTTCACCAAAGGAAAAAAATGCCAGGGTTTTAGTTTAATAATTATAGGGATTTTTATATTAACTTTCAATTCAGAAAAAGTTATTAA